TAAGTTCCACTATTGCTTCCCAAACCAATCTCAACCTCTGATTATAGCACTCAGTCATCTAGGCCTTGCATGCTTATATAAGTCGAATGCTACAGTAATACATGGTATTAAATTAGGCTTATATAAGTGGAATGTTATAGTAGAAAGTTTAAATAAACATTTCAATTGTTTACTATTTATTTAATATAAAACAGTTTATATATGCTGGTTTGTAATGTAGGTGTACTTCTATATATATATATATATATATATATCAATATGTTTCAGATTTAAAATAAGATTTAATAAAAACACATTGATGTTTAGAAGAAGTTTATGCTTACCTTTGTTTTGAATGTTTTGAGTATTATATAATAAAACTCAATCGAACCAATTTTAAAGATTTTTAGGCCCATTTCAATTTATGGTCATGTTTCTTCTTCAATTTGAATTACATTATTAAATTTTATCTTTTCATGGATAAAATAGATATAAATTTGAATGTTTCTTAAGATTTAACATGACTAAATTTGTCCTTTAATTTGTTGCCTTTTCTTGTAACTCTCTTTCTATAAATAGGATCAATAATGTGTAATTGAGCATTATAAACTTATTATAACTAAAATATGATTATGTGTGTGGTCAATTGAGTCCTCATAAGATCCATGTATCCATATTTATTTCTTTTTCCCCTCTCCCACATTGAAAGAGAGAGAAAGAGTGAAAAATATGCACACAATCAAAGAGATTAATGTCTTTACATCTACTAGTGAGATGCCACTCACGAACTAGTGTCACACACACAAGGTTAATCACTTCACCTTGTGCTTTTTTCTAAATCATGTAGCAAAAAGAGGGCCTACAACGAATCACAAAATCATTCATATGGTTTGCCAAAACCTCTACAAACTCATTATCACCGTCCATTGATAGAACTCATCCAAATCCTAACCATTCAAGTCTATCAAAACTTTGCCTATCTTTGTTGTACTCAAATACTACAAGCGAAGATAATGTAATAGTGAACCATTCCATGACAATATGGAATGAAATAATACTCTCTACTCGTCTTCACTAAGACCTTGCTTCTCATCTTTGTTCTTATTTCATTAGCAGCTTTAGTGTAAGAGTGCAGCACTTTTTAATTCGTAACCTATACACCCATGATTACCTGTTCAGGTATCCATTTGCAGGTGTATTGTAGGTTACGTTCAGATCGAGTGAAAGGAGAACCTTCTCCTCTCTACTACAGAAAAAACGTTAATTTCCGATGGAATTTTCAGCGGAAATAAATCCGTCGGAAATTCCTATAAACTTTCCGGCATAATATTTCTAATGGATTATAGGCGATTTTTTATGGATTTTTCCAGAGAATTATCGACGGATTTATGGCAGAATTTAATATTTTTTAAAAAATCATTATTATAAGTAGTTAAAATTGTTTGTTTTGTTAATAGATATTGTTAAATAGTTTTTAAAATAAACTAATTTCATAATTTATTTTTATATTAAAATAAATTAACTAATTAAACTAAATTAACTATTTTTAAAGTGGGTTGGTTATTAAAAATAATTTTAATATATAATGTATTAAAAAACATTTTTACAAAGTATAATTTAAATTTAAAAAATAAAAGTAGCTTGCATAGTGTATTCGTTGCAGCTTAATGGATAGGCACTGGGGCTTCACACTGGGAGTTCGCGCTGGGGGTGGATCGAATCCCGCATAGATGTGGGAGTGCATACCTATTTCATGTGCGTGCGGGTTTGCGGGCCGACCTAGTTCATGGGAGTGAGGAATCCGTGGGCGACGGGACGGGCCTGGTTCACGGGCGGGCAGCAAGCTCGCTTGGGCTAAATCAAAACAAGTTTCTTTAAATTTTTCCTATAAGCAATTTCCATCGGAAAATATGCCAAAAATGTTTTCATCGAAAATGCCAGAAATGTTCCAGCAAAATTTTTTCATCAGTGTTTATTTTTTGTCACGTGTTTTATCTTTGTAAAAAAAATTCCTGATTTTTAATTCGCTAAAAAAACTAATTATCGACGGATTTTAGTCATATTCCGGCATAAATGACCACCGAAAAATGACATTTTTCTATAGTGCTTGGAACAGTCCATTCGAGGGACGAGCTTAGGAGCTAGGAAGTAGCTTAACACTAGACCATGGCGGACCAGCTTCGACCATATCTTCCAAGCAGTCGCCCTACCTAGAGAGGGCTGCCTTAGAAGTTCCTCTCTCAATAAAACAAATATTTATTCATAAAGGCCAAAGTCAAGTCTCCCATGCAAGACACATCAACAAACTAAGTTAACGACACATATTACCCTCGCAAGACATCTCTTGCAATCAGATCAACCTAAGGACCACATCAAGATATTACTCACCTACTCTCACCTCGACGGACCAACTTCAGACTAGCTCTCTACTCTACGTTGAGCCAATCTTCTGACTAAATTCAGACGCTACTCGCCCCCTCTCGCCTCAACAAGGTGACATCAGACCGGCTTCCTACCAACGTTGGCTCGATCCACAAGCTCATCCTACTCGCATCGGCTTTCAAGATGATCACCACTTCACTAGGTACAAACAGTCAAGCTACATCAAAGACTTATGGGACAACTATTGTATACCGTACATATTCACTGTAACTCTCCAAACCCTATAAATAGATGGAGGAGCAAGACAGCTTAAGACACATGAAAAAGAGATATGGAAAGACATAAAAAGAGAGAGATATTGTGCCATTTTTCCTCTTTCTTAGCTTAAGCTCTGCAGCACAGAACCCTCGCTTTTATCATTCTTGTGCATATGGCTTAGATAATAAAGATTGTCTAGATCCATCCTTGCGTATTTTGACTTCATAATCTTCACCTCCAGGCTCTCAATCTATGGGTAGCCCGAAGTACGGCCCAGTATCATCCATCGGACAAACAGGATTCAACACAGCCCACTAAATAATAACCCTTTTTCCCTTTCAATTGCACACAATGATGGGGATAATGAGTTTGTAGAAAAAAAATGAAGGGGAGCACAAATTTCTCAGCCCAACTAAATTCAAAAAATTTTAACCTAGATTTAAAAAAATCTAAACATAAATTAATCAATAAATATCTCAGGTAGGATGTCTATTAGGGGTGTCAATTTCGAGTCACGAGTCGGGTTCGGGTCAAACCCAAAATTGACCCGGCACTATTCGGGTACGGGTCGACCCGAACCCACGGGTCAATTTTCTGGACCCGAACCCGACCCGCTTCGGGTTCGGTCAACCCGAACCCACTTGTTTCAGTCGCGCTGCCGCGGCAACGGTTACGCGGAACGGTCGCGTTAGGCGACCGCGGAATGCATTACGCAGGCGCGAGTGCAAGGGCTCATGGCAACGAGGCAGTGGTCGCGCACTCGTGCGGGCCTGCGGCAACGGGGCGGGGCGCGCTCGACTGCGCGACGCGGGGCGGGGTGTGCTCGACTGAGCGATGCGGGGCTGACGCGGGGCCGGAAGCCGGGTTTATGTGTTATTCCGGGTCAAATCGGGTCATTCCCGGGTTTCCGGGTCAACCCGAACCCGACCCGGTTTTGCAAACGAGTCAATTTTTCAGACCCGAACCCGACCCGCTTTGGGTTCGGGTCAACCCAAACCCGAAATTTTCGGGTCAGGTTCGGGTCGGGTCCATTATTGACAGCTCTAATGTCTATGACCCTCATTATAAACATTAAGGTCATTCCCTTTGATTAATGAATCCCAAGGCAACACATTTTCACTAAAGTACTACTTTTCCTTACATATAAGCTACCCTTCAAGATTATAGCTCTAAATGAAAAAAAAAATTAATAGCTCATCTTGCAAAACTTTTGAAGAGCTACACACTTTTTAAAGTAACTTGTGGATATCATTCATCATCATTATTAGCCTTAAATATGAGGGGTTAGCATTATGAATTCTCATTTCCAATTCATTTCTATTGAGTGCTTCTTGACATGTTAAATTAGTCTTCACAAATCATTTTGAACAACCTTTATCCAATTTACTTTAAGTATACACCTTGTCTTTCCTAATACATACATACTAATTTTATCTACTTTCCTAATAGGGCATTTTCTGCCCTTTGTAGTACCAGTCAAAATCAACTAGTACTTCATTCTAATTGTCGCTCTAATATAATCAATCATTAATTTATCATTTTTAACTTTTTCAAGCATTCATCTTAATATTCTTATTTTTATCAAGCTTAAATTAGCTGTTAATTGCTTTTTTATTATCTAGCACTCTAACATGTACAACATACTTTGCCTAATTATAGCTTAAAAGATTTATCTTTAAGTCTTCATGATATTTTCTTATTGTCTACTTTGCATGAGGGATGCATCCATTTTAACCTATCAGTCATAGCTCTAAAAATTATACTTTCATACACATTCTTTTGCATAAATATTTAAGATAATTATATTTATCATACTAGGATATCACTTGATATTTGAGTAATAATGATTCATAATAGTTAATATTTATTCAGATTAAGCCAAACTTTAATATCACACCCACAAAAATTACTCGATCCTTTTTTTACTAATTTTAAGTGATCTATCTTCTAAACATCTACTCCAATGTTTTTGTTGTCCACTTATTTAAATAAATATCTCATTGATTAGAACTATATCATCTCCTATATCAATAGATCATGAATATGTCTTCCAAAAGTAAGATGTATGAAATGGAAGAATTATCGAAATTTATCTATTGGATTATTGACCGATGCAACACTACAACGGCTTGAAAACTTCATCTTTCAGTATAAATATCTTATTCTCTCAAAATATCACTGCACATTTCAAACGGGTGATAGAAAAGAGACAGCAGCGTTAACCAGTGTTTACCCTTCAATCCACAGAACTAACAACTATGAAGAAATTTCATCAAATGAAGTTAGAAGAAGAAAATCAATAAGTTTAACAAAACTAAAATAGGGAAGCGAAGCACCTATAGTGAACAATTTAGACAAGTACAGAAGAACCGAAACAATACCTGCATCTGACTTCCACGCATCCCCGCGGTTTCCTCACGAAGGTCCCGAAGAACCTACAATTCCGAAACCAATAGATCGACAAGGAAGTCCGAAAGAAGTAGTACAAGACGAAAGGGATAAGCAGTACCGGCGGCTCGCGGACATTGGCGAGGACATACTCGTATATCCCTGAACTGAGGCTGATGACCTGCTTCTTTCCGTACTTCTCATCTTCTAATTCCACAACGGGGACAGCAGCCGCCGGCTCCACGGCGTGAGTGCGGCGAGAAGCCAACGAGAGTTGTGTTAGTCTAGGAAAGATAAAAGACTGAGGAAGCTTCTCGGATTGGCAGCCGGGGGAGACGAGTTTGGGTAAGGGTTTTAAAGAAAATGGGGACGGAGGTGATATCGCCATGGGATGGAGGAGGCAGACGATCACATGACTGTAGTTTAAGTAGGGGTCTGGTCGTTATAAAGCTCGGCTCATTAGATGAAAAGTATGCTTAAATTCTAGCTCAAGCTCAAATTCGAGAAGCATGAAGAGAGGAGTCCACAAAGAGCATGGGTGCAAAATGTCGCACCTCTTGGGCATTGTAAGCATTGGATATGTAATATATATAAATAATTTATATTATATTTATTTAAAAATATATTTAAAATTTTGAAAGCTCTTTTTCATAAAAAATTAAATTAAAATATTCTTAATACATGTTGAAATATTTGCAACTTCAAATTGAGGCAAAATTTAATGCACTAGTTTTTAACTAAGATTCGGTATAAATATAAATAAGAGAGGTGTGTAAGAATTATAAAAACCATCTAGTTTTTTACGAAGAAAATCCTAGAAAAAGAAAATCATGGAGCATGGCTCATTTAAAGTGATTTCATTGGTATTTGTAGTTTATTATAAGTGAAGTCCTTCATAAGCGAAGGGGATTGATATATCGTAAAGAATGCATTAATAGGTTAAAGTTGAAAGTGACATTTGACAAGAATCTAGCACAAATCCAAATGCCAAAGTTAGGAGTCAGAGTTGATATCAACGATATGCATCGATCTTATAAGTGATGATATGTGTTGGCATTATCGGTGATGGTAGGTGATAATCGATAGGTATTGGAGAAGTCATGTGACATTAATCAAGAGATTGTATGTTGGTGGATTCTAGTTTGGCAACAGTGGTTAGAGGACTGTAAAGTGAAATTTATGTTTGTTTTTATTGTATTAAATTTACAGTAAATAAATGTGTTTTAGTTGATATTATATAGGAAAATCTCAAAAAAAAGTATAAAGTTACAAACTAGTGCCACTACGTCAAAAAACCATAGCACCATATCACGACATTTCAGTGCCGAAGCCTCGAAAAAATTTCATTTCATTCAGTGCCTCAACATAACAAAGGTTAACATTGTAGGGCCACTTAGTGCCGCAGCGTCATAAGTGAACATTACAACACCGGAGTCTCAGTAAAAATTACAAAATTTAATGCTGAAGCACCAACCTCAAAACCACTGTAGCGCCGATGATGTAAGCCAGTGACGTAACACCCATCTTTTTCAACACCATGGTGGAGCAATTAAAGAAAAGAAATAACCCACCAGATCAGTCAAGTATCATGTTGGATCAGTAAATAGTTATGCAACGGTAATTCATATTACGCCACCTTGTCTAGGGTTACATTGCAAGAGTTTATTTATGTTAAGTATAAGTCCCAACGATGCAGCGGAGCACATTTAGTAATGCAAAGGTAATTCATATTACGCCACCTTGTCTAGGGTTACATTGCAAGAGTTTATTTATGTTAAGTATAAGTAGTTTTTATTTCTTTTGTAAGTGAGGAACCAGAGGATAATGAGTGACATATAGTGGTGTGTTTGGTCGTCCTTATAGAGAACAAAATCACACTTATGAGTGGAAAGGAGAGTGAAGGTGTAAGGGGAGAGACACATCGATAAGAGCCCATATGTAGGATCTATTTTGGATTCTTCATTATGGGTGTTATTTTCTTCATCTTTACTATTTATACTTCTTTCTTGAGCAAATAATGGAAAGTATTTTATTCAATTTTACTTCTATGGCTGGCTAAACTCTAGTTTTGAACTAATGATATGAAAATCTTTGTATATCCTAATGTTGAATCTTTAATGTAAATGTGAATTATTATTTTCAATATCTTCCATACTTAATTTAATTTGTGCAATAGTCATGTATAAATTTAAATATACCAAACTTAGAATCATTAAGAATATATGCATAGTAAAGCTTACTTACTATAAGTAGCATAACTTTCCTAACAAATATGACAAACAAAAAAGCCCCTAAGGTCACCTTTCTCTTTCCTCTCTCTCCTCTCCTTTTCCTCCTCTTCTCCCTTTTGCTTTCTTCTTCCTTCCATGAGAAGCCACGAATGACGATGGATGGGATACATACTACTTAGCTTTTATAATATATATATATATATATATAATATTTTTATTGTCTTGATGCCACAGCACAGCATGTTAAATCCAAAATTATTATGGAATCCTCAAATTAATGCCATGGAAAAAAATTTTGGTACCGTTGCACTCATAAATACAAATCCACAACGTTCATATACTCAGTACCACATCGCTCAAAATCAAACAAAAATTCAAATTTTCATTTAAAATACTTTTCATATTCTCATGTTATTAAAGGTGGTCCGAGGGCTGTAAACAGTTGATGGTGGTTAAAAGACTATAGCTTGGTGTGATGATGGATTGTGGAGCTAAGACTGTGTACAAAAGTTAATGTCATAATATAATGATGCACAATAAAGCCATGCTTATACTTTCTTGGATATTGAATGTCCACTAAATAAGCAAGTATATACATCTATCAAATAATCGAGTGAGTGAGAGGGTGTCAATTCTATGAGAAAGTGTTATTCTTAATTACAATCAAACTAATATCATCTATTTCAATTGCAAGATTTATACTACTGAACAAAAATAAGGGGGTTTTCAAGGTTTTACCACAGACAGAGAATATGCAAGAAAAGGAGATGCTAATACATATAAAATGTTTTGGAAAATTATATACAAAATGGAAAAGTTTTCTTAACGTGAATCTTAAATTTATATGTGGATTATATAATATGTTTCACTAGATCATTGTCAAGTTTGTACATGTGAAAAGGAAGGTTTTTGGCCTATCTATATAGCTATTATCACCATAGAACTTAGAAGGTTATACATCCTATGTCTAGGTATGCCAACATTTCAATTCAATAATCCTATTTGATCTAATATTCCTTCATCAAGATGATATATCACACTAGATTTTAATTACACACTTAACTATTGTATGTTTTAAATTAAGAACATGATATATTGAAAACACCCATAATTCATTTAAGGCATAACAGTCTATATTAGTATTACTTTGTGTTCATAATATTAGCCCAAAACTAAGAAATTAATTAGATAAAGAAACAATAAAATAAAAACAAATCTTCATTTCAATTATAAATAAAAAGGTACATTAGAAATAATAAGAGAAAATGTCACCCAGAAATGCACAAATGATATTCTCCACACTCCTTCCTCCAAAAGTAAATGCATAATTGGCCTCAAGCGCCATAGTGCTTGACATTGCAGTATGTGGTGTTGCTGAAAGAACTAGCACCTCGGCACTAAAATGTTTGCTATGTTATGACATTGGAATGATCCGGCATGTCACTTGGTTGACCCGACATATCTTTGGACTGATTAATCATGTCTCCTCACTTTGATAACTGCTCTATGGAGGCTCTTACAAATTTGAACTCTTTTGTTCTTAAATACGCTCCCCCAGCACTATTGTAGTGAATTGTTTGGTGCTCTTGCACCAAAAATTTAGAGGGAAGAGAATTGCGATGTCACTTTTTAGTGATATGATCCTTACCTTAGTTCTACATGGGCACTGGAATTTTAGTTGAAATTCTAGAGCAACCAGCATTGCATTGTCAGAATTGGGCACTTGGGCATTATGGATGAGAACACAACAACACTGTATCTGATGGCACTACAATGCTTGTTCAATACTTATGAATTTAGTTTATCCTAAGATAGTTTGCACAAATACGACTAAAACAACACATTTTTAGTAAATTTTAATAATAATAAATAGCAAAAATTTACACTTAATAAATTCCCCTAGCTTAAGCTCTTATTTATCCTCAAGTAATGGTGTAATCACTTATAGATTAACTTAATAGCTCAAATAAAAATTGGTAATTTAAAATTACTAAAATGTAAGATAATATATTACAATCTTAAAGTAATTTGGAATGATCAAAGTTGTAACACTGATTTGAAAAATTATAAATATTTAGCCTAATTAATTATATTTTTTATTGCTTGAATTGAACCTATCTACTATTAGTTTATTTGTAAGATTAACTTTTGATTTCAAATATGAATAATACATCATTTAGAGATTACTTGTGCTTTTAGTTAAATTAGAAGTTCATTAGTTCGCTTTTATATGTACTAGTTCACTTACCTTATCCTATTTAATTTGTCTTATGGTGCTTTTAGAATTGAGCTTCAACTGGTGCCAACTTTTGATTGTACTCATCTTTTTTTTTTTCTTTTTTCACTTTAATTTTATCATTTCATTTCACATTTTACACTTTTTCACATTTTTAGTACATATTAATTATTTGAAATATTAGCTTACATTCATCTTTACAGTAACCCTAGTTAATTTTAATGTAAGGATTTAGTAAGTTTAATATTTCCCTAATTTAGTTTACTAAGATTTTCATAATTTAAGCTGCCCACTTATTTTCCTTAAACTTAATTAATCAATCTTCAATTGAGTAGTCAGTACATTAGCATATAACTTCTAAATTCAAGACAAGTCAATAACTTAAGTAATATATATTAATTAATTATTAGGTTTTTCAAATTATGAATTACTATACATTGTTCATTCAAATTATTATCTAGGGTTTTATTATTATACTTAATTTTAGTTAATTTTTAATTAATATTTTTGTTTTTTTTCTTAATAAGCAATCAAAGTGCAAGCGCTATGCAGAGAATATTTTTTAATAATTAAGCATAAGTAGGCTTTAATGAGATGTAAATTTTACATAATTAAGAACAATAATAATATAAACAAAAGTAAAGACTAAGCACAACATAAACATTCCTTTTCATTAAATTTTAATAAGTTCATAGGCAAAGATATATATATATATATAAAAGAAAGATACAAAGATAAATAGTACCTGAAGCACTATTCTCCTAAATCCATCTCCACTCAAGACCTATGGTCTCTTCTCTTAATATTATAACAACAATGGCTCTCAAAGCCATCACATTACCATCAAAATTATGGGATTCTCCCCAAGCTTGATGATAAAATAAATGAAAAATAAAGAAAAAAGAAAATGATTTAACCAACCACATCAAATATAATAATCTCCATTCCTAATAATAAAGGAAACAAC